TTGCAGGCACATCCAGCCCAAAGCTGCCTGTGCAGGAACTGGAGAGCAGGATACACATGGTGCCTTGTGCTGCAGGGCTTGTGAGCAGGCAACCAGCAGCCATGGAGCTTGTACCTGCAGAATGGGTACAGTGGCCATCAGGGCTTTGTGCATGAAAACATCTGGCTCTGAGCAGCTCCTGACTGGGAAAGAGCAGAGGGAAGGACTCATCAGCATTGCAACTGCAGAGCACCCAAGGCTGGCACACCTGGGCTCCTCTCTGCCCTTGCCAATATGAGGTAGAAAGGGCAGTGGGGAATTTCATTTGGAGTTCAGATTGTAAAATGTCTTACAGACAAGAATGGCAGAACTTAATATTTAAATAAAGACACTGTTATCTGAAATGCTGATGCTCTTTCAATTCTACCAAGAACAGTCTCCTCTATTTCCCTGCCAAAGAGAATGTGATAGTCAGTCAGTGACACTAACATCTCTACAAGACACCCAAAACTACAAAATGACAGACAAAAGAGAACAACTGAACAACTGTTCATGTGTTCTGTACTTCTGTCTCAGACACACATCTTCCTAAGGACATGAACAATTATAATTTTATTATATTTAATGTCTTCCTCATCAAATTTCACTCCATTATCTGTCCCAGACGAGGTGTATTGTGCAATAACATTATAAACTTTTCTTAATCTTGCTGTTATTTCAGCCCAAACTGATTTACTGGGGATTCTGAGAGCATAATATTTTCCATCCACAACAAAAACTCTACTTTATATTGTTATTTTAGAATATAATCTTGACCTATTCATGTGTCTAGAATGAGTTTTTGCAGTTTCAGCAAGAAAATCCCTTTTTAATTTTTAATGTACATGTCAATTTTCAGGGACTTTATTAAAACACATTTTTATTGATATCCTGTTGAGAAATACAAAACTTTCTCTGTAATTATTTACAGTTTCAAAATCAATAATTAACCCAGTTTCATGTTTTTGTTTGTGGCATCATAGATTCTGTAGAGTATTCTGTATTTCAGGGACATTTAAACTGTTAAATGAAGTTATGAAGTTATGACTTCCCATGGTAGTATGGTGTCACCTTGTGAGGTTTTATTGTAAGTGCCTCTAGCAAGCACAAGGAGATAAAAATTAGCCCTGGAGAGACAAGGAAAGTAGACTATTCCTCTGTGACTGCAAGAAATTGCAAGAGATTCCAACAGTGAGCCTGTTGACAAAGAGGAGCGTGTGGTTATAGGTTAAGAAAAGAGCATTCAGCATTTTAAGATTACATTAAAAGGTCATGAGAGGGCACAAAGAACTGCAGCAAAACCTCAAGTACTTTCCCCAACACAGATCCAATTACAGACATGAGTTATTTCCACTGAAGTCAGCAGTTACTGGAGATTAATGTGGAAGTAATGCAAATCAGATTTCAGGCCTGCAGGCTGTTGCAAATCTTGGCTTACACTATTTCCTTAAAACAATGATCAATTAAAATAACCAAGTTATTTTTTTACTTTTTGATACTGTTTTATTGACTTCCAGAACTCTTTTTTTGTCCCCAAGATGCTTTAACTGTATATAAATGAGAGATCACACACACAGCTGTTTTGATAGAGTGTCTCGGATTGCAATGCAAGATGTAACCAGAAGTGTGTATTCTATTAGCAGTTGTAAAAACCAGGTGGGGCAGTGTTGTTTATCTCTTCCACAACCCATTCTCCCTCCAGGTGGAAACCTTCTGCTAATGGGCCATTGAGTCTCACTGCATGACTGATAAAATTCCAGCACCCCACTGGGAGATGCTCCACCCAGGGGGAGGAACCAAGCAGTCCTACCTGGATATAATTGACACCTGGAACAGCTGCCTTTCTCCACTGGATTCCCAGAGGAGATGCCAGACCTATCTACACCACCACTGGACTTTCAGAGGAAAACTACACCCTTCTGCAGGATTACTGCCTCAACAGAACCACATCTGTCACTCCAGAAGGATTACTACCAACACCCTGACCAACAGGGTGTCAGGTTGTATTCTGTCTCTGTCAGTGGGTTGCTTTTTTTGTTGGTGTTGGTTTTTGTTTGTTTGTTTGATTTTGGTTTTTCTTGGTCTTCTTTTTTTGTACTACTACATTTTTAATTTCTTTAGTAAAGAACTGTTATTCCTATTCCCAGATCTTTGTCTGAGAGCACCTTGATTTCTAGATTATAATACTTCGAAGGGGGGGGGGGGGGGTTTACATTTTTATTTATTTCAAGGGAGGTTTGTGTCTTCCTTAGCAGACACCTCTCTTTTTCAAACCAAGACATAGAGGCTTTAGGTAATGATTTTAATTTTTCTTTGTCAAGTTTTGAAGGAATACAGTAATGTCTGTTTATATTTAACACTTTTCTGCAATTCAAAATGTGTATCCTCTTCTTTTTGGGCCAAATCCAAAACTGTTTTAAATCTAAACCTCTTATTGTTTATTTCCACATGGCCTGATAGTTCTTTTAGAGTAATGCTGGTTGAAGAAACACTTGCTGGAGAATCATTTAGATTGTGTCAGTAATACAATTGCCAAAGGCCAGTAGGTTTGCTGTCTCGTGACAGGATTAAATTTGCATCACACTGAACTACTCACTCAACAGGCTTGCTGTAAGAAAACTGCCAGTAGAAAGACATCCAGCTACAGACAACTGTGAAAGCACAAGTACTACAAAGCTCTTCCGAAATCTATCCCTCGCCTTTGCCATCAGGTGCTGGAAATACTCACCCACCACTAGGCAGTGCTGAAGGATTGAATGCACGGATCTCTCTCAAACACCAGGGACACACAGTGCTGCTCTGTTTTTTGTTACGGAACATGAAAGTAAGTCAGAAAAATAAAGGCAGTTAGGACAGCTGCACACATTTGTATCTGCAGGATTTTGCAAAAACTTGTCTCTATGGACAAGAATATTTCTCCACAATGTGCTTCTAATTTCTTTTCTCTTTGTTTCTCAGCTCAGATGGATGACTCCAAGGTCAAACATCTGGCTGCAAGCTCAAGGGTCTCCTGAGGGCTTTGTAACATGTAGGTCAGGGAGGGCCCAGGGAAACAGCACACTGAGCACATCCCAGGCCACTCGTCCTTTAAGAAGGGAGTATGATATAACCCAAGAATGACACAGTGTCAGGAAAACAGGAATTTTAGCGAATAACAATCTTAACACAGAGCAGAATGTGATGCCAAGAGGAACTGACCTGCGTCATCAGCACTGGGTCCTTTTTGTTTGGATAATCTGATCCTGAACCTTGCAACCTGGTATTTTAACAATGCAGTCTAATCATATCCTCCTCCACACCTCACGAGGCTTCCAAGATGAAATGTCTCTCTTGAAATAAATTTGTAAAAAATTAGGCAGGTACTTCAATTAATAGGCAGTAACTTTAACATAATCTCTCTTAATGCCGGTCTTGCAAATAGTTTGAATCAGCCAATATACCTAACTTAATCTGCTCAAAATCAAAACCAGGCTTGAATCTTTGTATTCAATCAGAACTGAATATGAGGATTAATTTCTGTTAATTTTAACTTTGGTAAGGGAGTTCACATTTTAATTCCTTTATCTAAACAGAAATCAGTAGGAGGAAGCATTAAAATGCTATAAGCATCATTGAACATAACTCTAAGATATCTATTAAAAATACATATTATTACTAACATACAAGTGTCATTTTCACTGTGCAATCTTAGACACATCTGTCCATCTGTGTAGCTGTATACCTTGAATATCCAAAATTTCCACTGAAACTTTTCATGTACACACATACAGCTAGAAAAATATTTATTCTTTATTCATAGTGTGTAAATCTGAACAGCAAGCTACCCTGCAAGCTCACCACACAGAAGAGTTTGAGGTAGTTAAGCATCACCATCCCTACAGAAATGATAAACAGGTTAGGTTCTCTACTTTAACAGTTTTCTATATAATACATTTCATCTTTTGAAAGATTGAACTTTATAGTAGTTGGAATAATGATCAGAAAAGAAATTAATATGTGGTCAGCCTAAAAATTCTCAAAGCACAACAGAAGGCTTCAAAAGTTTTAATTGTGATGACTTTGATACAGAAGCCATGTAAATGACAGAGCCCTTCTATTAACTGTTAGAACAGTAATTAATATACATATGATTGTCTTCAGGCCCCAGTACTTAAACAATACTGGAAGTAAAAAAAAACAAAAACAAAAAAAAAAAACAAACCCAAAAAGATCTAGCTGATTTCCAGCTGGAGGGGAAAGAAGAACATAGAACTGCATTTATGCATTTTAGGGGAGAGATTGCATAGCTTGTTTAGAAAGAAAATATCTTTTCATGTCCTTAATAGTAGATCTGTGCTTCTTCAAATTCTTCATGAGTTACAGGTGACCATGTTCCTCCATTCAACATTATCAGCCCATAGAATGAGTAAAATGCAGGAGCCCCTTTGAGAATAAAGACACAGTTTTAACATTTATCTTGAGAAGAAATTAATCATATATGCAGTTATCATATATAAAAGGCAAATATTTCAAGTTTTATAAGGACACAACAATCCATGAAATATTGGTTGAAGGTAAGCACCAAAGCCAGCAGCTGCCATTTCAGTAGCTGAAAGGCAAACCTGGGCTGTGGTTGTCTTCAACCTTGGGAGCTTGATCTTGAGTGCAGTTCTTTCACTTCAGGTGTTTTCTATGCAAGATCCCAGCTGTACACAGTGATAGAGGCATCTCATTATTTAAGGCCCATGCTTTCTTTCAAATACTCTTGGAAAACACACCAAAGCTAATATTTCTCTTACTTCTCTCAATATTTTTTAACTTTTAAGAACAATATTAAATATTCATAAATATAAAAACTGTGTGGAAATACCTTTAATAATATTCTGATTATGACTGTTAAAAAAAGGGGGGGGAAAAAAGAAAAACCACAATCAACCATCTTTGCCAGAGTGCATGGCCAGCAGTGAAGATAAAAATGTGTCTATTCCAAATATCCTGTAGATCACATGATGCTTCTGTCTCTTTGTGGACCAGAATTATTTCAGTACTTTCTGCTGAGTTCTAAGAAGCTCTCATTAGGGGACAAAACCCCCTGGAGTGCCTGAAATTCAGACAGGCTGGACTGGCAGAAACATCTTCAGATTCTTATGTGGAAAGTACTGGAAAAGAAAGAAAAAGATTAAGACATACAACACATTTGTCACTATGCAAAAAAATTTCCTTAAAGTACAAGAAGGAAGGTGCTGTGTAAAAAAAAAAATTTCTTTCTACTTTCAGGCTTTGAGATGATTTAAATCTCATGGGAGAAAATTCCATATTCTGAAAATGTTAGCTCAGGGGCCAAGCTCAATACCAGATTAAAGCAAGTGTAAATTACCCAATTTATGGATGTAGAGCAGAGCTAAGTGTGTCTCAATGGTATTTTTGCTGTGGCACAGCATTTGGGTCCTAACCAAGACAAGTCAGGCAGGTAAGGTTGTTTCTCTTGTTGGGCCAGAGAGATCCTGGTTGTTATTCTCTATTTGTTCTTTAATACAGGCAGGCAGCATGCCTGCAAGCCACCAGGCTTTAGAAGAGCGCCTGAGCATCTCAGCAGGACAGGGAGTAACAATTTAAATAGGCTATGCTGAAACCTCACTGTCTATAGGCAGCAATCTGTTAAATGTCATGACAATATCAACTTTCTTTCATGACTGACTGAAATAAGGAGAGATTATTATGTGGTTTTGTATGTAAATTCTGTAATTTTGTTGCCTGAACTGAAAGAAAACCTTTTTGTTCTTTTTGGAACATTTGAGAGGCTGCAAACTTTCTGGATGCACACTCTGGATTTTTTTTTACCAAAAGAATACTCCAACTTAATTACAGCTATTAGATTTGAATGAGAAACTCACTAAATGAAGCTTGTAGTATGTATTTGGAGGAGATAAAGTTTCATATTCACCATGGTCCCTAGGAACTTTAGGATTTTATTCAGTCTGGGTGACAGTAAAAGATATGGTGTATAGCAGCCTGGCACACCAGCCTAAGCACTGTGAGAGAAGTCAGACAGTGATGCAATTAGTTTAATGGCACTAAGGTTTTTTAAATAAAAGAGTTATAAATATCTTGTTCACAATTTAAAAAATGCCTAGAGACTATATAAATACAAGCTCTTAAAAATTTAACTCCCACGCAGTTAATATCTAGGAGCTAAAAATCCATCACATTGTATGTGAAAACACTTGAAGCATGATTCCCCAAAAAAATACATCCAAATCTACCTAACTGGAAATCTGTTTATTAGAAAAAAAAGTTCTATTTTTATCAGAGTGTCATTTTGCCCTTTGGAGATTCAGCTTTTTACTAAGAAGCAGCTGAAATACTCTAACAAAAATTGCCTTCCACTGTTTTTTTGCTAAGCATCTCTTGCCAATTAGTCACTAGCTCTAATATTAGTTCTCAAGAACTAATTAATCTGCCTGTTGGGACAGTCTTACGAGATGCACATTCCCTAAAAGTGAGCTTCCTTTACTTCAGCATTTGGTAGGACTGGGGTCACAACATCAACTGGTGGCTGGGCAAAGGCCCACAACAGTTTCAGAAATATTTTATTTCCAATGTTTAATGTGTTGTTTCCCTTCTGGCAGCTCCCAGGTATTACTAATGTCATATTCCTCTCAAACCCCATTACATATTGTTACAGCACGCTTCACCCTCAGGCATTCAAATAAGCTGAAACTTCCAGGATGATTTATAAAATAATTTCCTGTGGAAAACGTAACCAGTCTTGTAGAACAGAACACTTAGCTAGTGCCAGCTCAATGTGCCAATGCTTCCATTAAACTACAAGCAGCTTCTTAATGATGACAATTTTGAGTGAAATAAAACCACTGAGATCAAATTTTCTGAACTAGTAACTGTCATTATCATTTACATTTTAGTCCAGCTTCTGGGATAGCAGCCAACTGCATAGATCTTCCCTGGTTAATGGTTAACAGTGTTTTCTTCTAGTCTGGAAATAATTCCTCAATGACAGCAATGCAGATCAAGCAACAGACTTTACTGCATCTTCATTTGCCTGACAGCAGCACAAAGCTGGTAAAGGCTGTCTGTAGATTAAACCTATACAGGGTCATTATGTAAAGGTTTGAGAAAGGAGTGATGAGATAAAGATAATCAATCAACAGAGTGGATGAACTTCAGCTCATAGCAGATCTAAGTCTGGATCATGGTGCCAAAGTTAATGCCTGCTGTGTATGTTAAGTAGGCGTGATAATATGACAGCTTAAAAAAAATCCAACATGTATAAAAAATGTGCTTCAAAACCTGAGTGCATATTGCTATAAGAATCTGGCCATCAAAGGTTTTCCACAGAGTAAAAAAGATATTCCTCCTCAGTAACTTCAAATCTCATGTTGATGATAATGATAATTTACAGCTGGATGAAAGTTCTCAATGTTTGTCAGAAGTTGGGTGAGTACTGGTCCCATGTTAGAGAGCAGAGAGGAAAAATGTTCTATAGTCATGGTTGCAGCTAGCCTGTAGCTGCCAAATAAATTTGCCCATATTGGATGCCCAAACTCAACCAGCCTAGAAGCAAAACAAGTCCCTGGATAAGGCAGGGATGGGCCAAATTCAAACCCAAGCAGGGACCTCAGCCAATCATGTTCAATCCAGAAAGCAGACATATCCCTGGTCAAGGAACTGAGTGGTGCTAAAATCTCAACCAATCAGTTGTCTAGACCTGGGAGTTTTGAATGCACTATATAATAAAGTTCCGAACAATAAAACACCAACCAACAACCAATAATGCAGTATTCTTTTGGCTTCATACAGATCAGTGACTAAAGCAATGGCAGAGCCAGGGGAAAAACTGCCTGGAATCCTACATTTCTCCCTTTTATAATATGAAGAGGTAGCTTTGGTGGGGAGAAAAAGAAACAGAGTAAGTAATCCTTTACTTAAGATAAAAATCATCTGGGGTCTTGCAAGTTATTCAGCACTTTCAGAAGGCTTTCATACCAGGTGCCAGGATGGTATTCTGGGATCAGATATTCAGAAATATTGACTGCCCATGGTTTCACAGCAAAAATCCCTGCAAACTGCAGTTACCCAGCATCTCCAGTTGCTCACTGGCAATCATTTGCAATGTGGTTCTTGCTTTGGTTCCTCGGTGTGCCATTTTCACAGTTGCTGAGCAGCTGGAAATGTAAATCATTAGATTCTTGGGCTTCCTTGAATTTAAATTCTGGAATGCATTCAACTAGGCATAAGAAGTGGAGATATGCAATAACAAATGTAATTGTGACTGTCATTGGACATTGATGGGTTGATATTTCTTCTATATGTCTGCTTAAGATTTCAAATGGACAATTTCTTTTAGGTGAAAGCATGTTTTTGTATCTTTTTGCAATAGTAAGAAGCTTGTTCAGTTTACCACTGGCATATAGGGTTGGTGATCTGCTATTAAGACACTTCCTGTGTTTTGCATGCTCTGTATTAGATTATCCAGCGAAGCTGCACAGCCCTGCCTGCCCTTTGGCTGCACACAGACCAAGGCTATCATTTAAGACAACCATTACACTGGAGACTCAGAAGAAAATGAGAGGCCAGGAATAGAGCTGGAGATTAATTCACAAAGAGGTAAGAAAGCATTGTTACAGTAAATGAATAGGTAATCTGTCCTATACTGTTATGGCACAATTGAATTTAATGAACAGGAACTGGGGTTTTTGTGGGGAGAGATCACCTACAAGAATTGCATTCTTGTCCCATTTCAAAGTCTGTCGCTGCTAGCAGGCACTGGCTCCTGCCGGAGTGCTTGTTTAAGTTCAGCCCCAGTCAGACTTTGGTGAATCTATTGTGGCATTAAACATCAATGAATCCCATTCCAAAAGTCAAATCCCTCTTTAGAATGCAATATTTACAGAACTTTAAAAATTAGAATAAGTTCCTCAGAACAGGAAGTTCAGTATTAACAAATATGTTGGTCTGTGATGCAGTGCATACAGGAAGACTAGAACTAACAATGTCCTAAAAAAATAAGACACCTTTACAGACAAAATGAACAGTAAACCACAGGAAGGCAGAGGTATCAAATCTTCCATGTGAATCGGCTTGGATAAAAGTAGCCTCATGACCCTGTCACTTTCTTTTCCTGCAGCTATAAACTCAGATTAAAACAGAAACCAAACTAGAGATCCTACACATTCTCAACTCTGAGACCTTTTTCCATTACACTCTCATTTTCCAATATGACTTCAAAGATACATGTTGCTGAACCATGAGAAACGTCAGATTCTTCAGAGGATTCTAATATTTTCTTTATATATATTTCCAGCTAAGAAATTATTTTCTTTGTACTGTTACCCCCACAGAGGCTGCTATTATATAGAAACTGCCTGATCAGAGAGCCTAAAACAGTGTTTTGGTTAGGAGGTGGAAGGAGACCCTTCTTTATATCATCAGGAGCCTGGGGACTTCAGAGATGAATCCCATAAACCAGCTAAACTCCTGAACCTGAAAGGAGAAGGAAGTTATGAGTCCTCTGGAAGGCAGGGATGCCAAACATCTACCTTAAATATGCACATTGCCATCTTAAACATGAAGGAGATATCTTGTCACAGACATGGATCCAAGTGCACGTTTAAACTGAGCAACTGGACACTCAGTTTTCCAATACTTAGTAGCCTCGTCCTTTGATTTTATTGGTACTCTCCACATTCTCTTACCTAATCTATAAAATACATCTCACTTCATCTCACTTTTTACTCATCATTTTGCCCTGCTGAATACCCAGTACTCAGTGATTTTCACTCATTTCCTCATCTTCCCAGAACATCACCAAACTGGAAAAGAAAAATAATTGTGACTGTCATTCCAGTGGCTACACTGACAAACATTCCTCTCTGCAACTTTCTCAGGAAATGACTGGACTGCACAGCATCCTCAGCTTGGAATTTGCAGTCAGCAGTTTGCAAGGCTCTACAACACAGCAGTAAAGTCAGTCATGGCACAGGAAACTCCTGAAACTGCAGCTTCTGCTGAATCTTCATTTCTGCTTTCAATTCTTCACGTTTGTTCACTGTTCTCTACCAGATTTGTAGGAGCAGCACAGCCTTTTGATTGATTAAAAGAAACTCTACCTGACCCCAGCAGTTTCTACATGGATATAAAGAATATAAAGAAAATGTTTTCTTAGCTGGAAATATCTGTAAACAAAATATTAGAATACCTACTGAGCTAAGCCTCACCATAATGATGATATATGTCTTGTTCTAAAGGGGTTTCCATTGATACACTTGATTAGTCAAGGAATACCTGAAATGTATAAAAGACATTCACATTGACTGTCTCCTCTCCAGAAGGTGATGTTTCTCAAGGTTCACAGGAATCATGTGCTCCTCCTTTATTGTTGAATCCCTTTAACATCTTTCCTCAGCAGTTTCATTTGTGAAATAAATACTATTCTGTGTTCTGCAGGACAATTTATAGTTCTTTAGAAACTATAGAAACACTTTCATTTCTCAGCAGAGATCAATGTGTTTCCATCTATATTTGTAACATGTATACAATATTTACAAGCATTCCTATGCAGACAGCTGGAATCCTTGTTATAGGCTTAAGAAAAATATGAATTTGAGCTGATAATGGATCAAAATATTTTCCTGAACTGCACTAAGAGGGGTGGAGGGGCAGGAAAGGTGATAATTAGAAGTCATTGAGCTCTTAGTCTTAACTTAGGAAAGAACTGGAATATGCCCCAGAAGACTAAACTGAGTTAGGTAAGAAGTCATCCCCTAGTCAGTTCTCTAGTAAAATACTTATGTCTGACACTTCTTGTATTAGATTGTACAGTGATATCCTAAAAAAATATCTGCAAATATGCAGGAGACTCTCTTTTTCTTAAAATAATACCTGAGAAAGTCCGGTGCCTTGGAAATCATGTTTTCAAAATCTGCAAATCCTAATTTCCCATCACCATCCATGTCAGCTTCTTCTATCACTTTCTCACAAACCAGAGTGATTTCCTCTGCTGTCAGCTCTTCCCGGGTCAGCTTATTGAGGGTTTTTTCCAAGTCTGCTTTACAAATGAAGTTATCTGTGTTAAAATCTAAACAATAGAAGAACCAAAGATCACCAATTGTCCCACTCATTTACTCCAAGCACAAAAAGCACACAGAGCCCCTCCATACAGTACCATAGATCTTGAAGGCATAGATTGCTTTAAGCTCTCGGGGAGCCATTTCACTGAGCACGGAGAACATATCCACAAAGTCATTGAAGCTCAGGCTCCCCTCTCCATCTTCCGAGAAAGACTCCACAATCCTTTCTTTGAAGGGATTCTCCTGTGAGACATATATAGATTGTCATTTGGAAGATGAAAAAACCTGCAGACTCCCTGATAATGACTATTTAATTGCATAGTTGGCTCTTTAAAGACATTTTTTTTATTTTTTTCCCCCCAAAATACAAGAAAACCCTTATATTTGTATGGTTTAGCAGGAAGTTTCAGCAGTCCTTGCTGCTGCATAGTACCACTTCTGGCTTTTATTTTCACTGATACATGTCAATGTCCAGCCTTTGGTTGGACTGACTGAAAATTCCAGACATTTAAATGAAATTTAATCTCCACAGGAGATGATCCTGAAATAATTTCTAGCACCTTAGAATAAGACAATATTCTAAAACCATAAACTCAGAAGAAGCATAAGAAAGCCTGCTTTATTACTATGAAATCCAAAACAAATGTTTTTACAGTAAAAACCCATCATCTTTCTCAGGTCTATACAAAACCTCAACAATAATTTGTAGCTGTATTGATAAAACTTGGAAAATCAATTCAATTTAGTTGAATATGAACGCAAACATCCCTTGGGCTGTGAGCAGCATCTCATTTTACTACAGATTTTATCTGAAGATACTGATTAACATACTGATCCATAAATACATACAGCTGTGGTGGTGGTATATCAGGTTCACTAGTTTTAATATGCATGCAGCATTTTGTTTGGCTTTTAAAGAAGCCATACTGTGAAAGCTCAGAAGTTCAATCATATATCCATTATTTTTTCCCCCTGTAAATTTAATTACCTAACAGGTATTCATAAACCATCCAATTATTTTAAATGAAATTTCAGAAAAATTTGAGAGACAAATGACCAGAAAATGTTATTTTTCAGTTTACTTGAATTCTTTCTTGATAATTCACACATAGAACAAGAGTATCTATAGATTACATTTTTGGCATGACTGTGGAGACTAAGGGCCAAAAACAAGGCTGTTTTTATGGACAAGTGAAGTAGGGACCACAGAACCTTAGGCTCAAATGACAGCCCATTAAGTAGTCAATACTAAATACAAATTCTCCTGCAGGGTTTGATGACTGAAGGAATCCACAATAGAGAACAGGCCTACAGATTGCAAAGGACAGGAGATTGACAAGTTCACTCTTCAGATGAAGACAAAACCAGGCCACATAACACCAAATTAAATAGAATAGAATAGAGGGATTCCTGAAAATAAAAAGCACTCTCAAAAAGCAGCAGGGTCACATCACTCCAGAGCCTGAGAATGAAAAATAACACCCCAGACCCAGCCAGATGGCTGAGGGGAACCTCACTGTTAAAGGATATGTAGTGATCACTTGTGTCTCATGAATGATGTGTAGGTACAGCAGGTTTGCATCTGTGGGTAGTGCCCAGGTTAAAGTATCTCACTTAAATGCCTGGAAATATTTGTGGAATACACATTTATCTGGTTTTGGGATTTACCTGTGGTAATACACATATACCTGTTGGTGGGATATGCATGCACAGACATGCAGGGAAGAACAATTGGTTCTATTTTTTCAAACTGCCAGTTTATAAATAAGCCAAAGTAAGATTTATTTGGGCTGAAGTATATTAAAAGACCCACTTTCCTCCTAAAAGCACACCAAAAATTGCTGTATTTCATGTTTAATAATTAAGAATGTCAAACATCAGAATGGACATCAAGACATGTTAGAAATCTATTTTTCATTTCTAAAATGCTGTATAGCTTTCTTTGGAACAAACCTGATCAGAAGTAAGTGTCATGGTAACAGCAGTAAACTGACATCTTAGAGGCAGCATTGGGTAACAAACCAGGAGCACACAGATGCAAATATCCCTGTCAGCAGTGAATATCAAGCCCAGGACTTCATGCTTTAGAAAGGCTGGGGCAGGATCTCACTGACTCAATAAACATATGTCAGTTGCATAAGATGAGTTATTTATTTGGCATGTCAGAGATCTTGAAAATACAGATAAATTAAGAATTAATTAAATGAACCTAAGCATACTTCTTAAGTAACTCTTTGCCAAATGGATCACTAAAACCAAAATGAAAAATAAAATCTTTCCTCATATTGATTTCTTTTCTTTAACTTTCTCATATTATGTGTCTCCAGGCAGTATATCTGTGGCTTACACAATGGAAAGTATTAGGTTACCTTCACAGATACTTTTCACATCCTTCCTGTAATTTCATTACCTCTACTCTTAAGAGCACAGATTAGGGTTCCATCATATTTAAAGGAAGAGCCATGGGGGAAGGGAGTGAAGGGGAAAATGATATTGTTCTTTCCTAGATTGCTTTCCCATAAGCACTAATCGTTGAAAAAGGATTCCTTTTAAAACTAGAAACTTACACTTGTGTTAAAAAGCTTTTTCTGTACTTTCATTGTCATAGATACATATTATATTATTGGGTTTTCACAAATAATAAAATGAATGTTTTATATATATAATGTTGGAAAACTGCTGTATTAATATAGTTTCTTTTATTTCTGTTATTGATAAAACTTAAAAATAGTGGTGTAATACATATATATATATATTTTAGGCTGTAGCATGGTATTAAAATAAAGACTGCTTTTGTTCATATATGAATGAGAATGAAAAGATAGTCAGAACCCCCACCTTGCATTCTTAGATTATTTTACCCAGATGAAGACTGCAGTGACTGGAGCTCCAAGGGAGGAATTTTTTGAACCTTGGTTATTAGGGAGTGTGAGACTCAACAGAGCCAAGAAGATTGATCTATTGGGGAGGGGGAGTTGAAGCTAAACAAAGGAACATCTAAAACTTAAGAGGAATGTTTGAATAATACAAAAGCATTTATGAATATGCAAGAGATTGGTGTTTTTAAGGGACAATCCTTTGTTAGTAAGGCGTGCTCTTGGGTGAATGCTGAGGCACCTGGCCATATTTCTTTATTTTGCCTTATTTCTGTCTCCTAATTGTCTTTTTATTAAACTTTTTAAATGTTATTTTAAAAAATGTGAACCTCTTTTTCACACTCATGATAAAAATGAGAGAGGGGACAGAAACAATAAAGAACTGCTACAAATGAAAAACAACTCTGCTGTTTTGCAGATTGATGTTTCTGTAGTGGCTCAAGAGAATCCTAAATGTGCAGTCCATCTTTGTAAGGAACACTTATTTCACTCAGATAATTATGTTTCTATTTATTTTTAAATCTCACACAGCATCTATTCCAACATACAGACCTATAACAGCTTACAATAAAACACAACCATTAGTTTTCTAACAAACTCTTAGAGGGTTTATTCCTGGCATTGCAGTTTAATCACCTGTTATATTCCTCTGTCCTCTAGATTCCATCCCATACTCTAGGAAAGCACTCTGGTGGCCTTTTGACTTATCTGTTTTGTAGTTTGAGGAATTCATTTCAAGCATCCAATCCTATTCCCACAAGCTGACTGCATTTTGGAAATAAGAGGTTGTAAGTGAAGTTCAAAGATAGGTGAAGGTGATTAAGGTGAAGGTACTGGACAGTCATTACAAAATGCTCCTTAATTTTCATATCCACAGAAACACAATGATGATTTTTCCCTTTTGTATTTGAACAAAAGCCCCCACTGACTTTAGAGAACATATTTAAAAGCACAAAGCAGTCTATTTTGCAGGAGTTATTCCAAAACAAACAAACAAAAAAAAACCCACGAAAAAAAACTACCTCCCCATTGAAAAAAAATTTGCTGTCAGACAAACGTTAATATAAAAGTGGATAAATTGTTCATTACCAAAGCTCCATTGGAAACACTGGTGCTTCTGAAGGGAAGCATAATAAGTGCAACAGCAAATTTTCCCTGGAGCAGAAAAAAACAAGTTTCTTTGCAGGGCTTTCTTTCCTCATTTTCTTCTTCCTCAAAATCAAAAACTTGGGTTTTATGTGTCTATGATTATATTAACATCATCAAACTTCCCTGCTGTGCCTGCAGGGTACCGTTTAAGGTAAATTGATGAGTTTATGTTTTAATAGAAAAGACCATTTTGTTCTGTCAGAAAGTAAAGTTCAGCAATGACTCTGTACTAAAGTCACAACAGCTAAAGAAACAAAGATTCAGGCTGTATACAGAATTGCTTAAATATTCCAGAACCTACCAGTACCTCAGGGGAAGATAAGACATTGTGACAAGAACCAATTCCTGACTGTGCCAGGGAAGTGCACAGACAATGCTGCAGGGGAGGTGCAGGCAAGGGTTCGATGCAAAGAAAACAGCCCTCGCTTATGATACTTGGAGTACACATACACACAGCAGAGATGCTCAGATAAAGAGACTTCAGAGAAGCAAGGAGAGTGATCTGAAGGGAGTAAACATCCCATCATAACTAGAAACAACTAACAGAATGCAGCAAAGATGTTGAGATGAGCTGGAGGCAAAGATCAGCCAGAGCAGAGCTGGGGCTTGGGAAGATCACCCTGCTCTCTGAGGTGTTACTGCCCCTTAGATGGAAAGCTTTGAATCTGAAGAGTCACTGAAATCACTTCTAAAACCTCATCCTATTAACACTGTGGAAAGTATTTTTATTTTCAAGCAAATCACTTGCATTCACGTTTAAACTTACTATAAATAGTGTGCTAACATTGGTTCTGAAACGTGCGATGGAGTTGCTGTTCCCTGTGTGTCCTTGCTGGCTCCTGGCTGATTCCTGTGCCTGCTGCCCATCCTGTTTCAGCAGTGGATTTATGAACTACCTCCCTTCCCAGTGCAGCTTATGACAAGGCCTGCGAGGATCAATGAAGTTCCTGTGTGAGCCAAAACACAGGAAGCAACAGACTGTAAAGTGAGTGCATCAAAAATGGTTCCAGTCCAGCAGCCCTTTGCTGCCCAGCTCTGGAGAGAAGGATTGCTCTGCACTGCAGCACCCACAGAGAGCACAATCTGGGATGTGGGTATGGACACTCACCACTGCGATCAACCACAAGAGCCTCTGGCACCAGGTTGCTTTCCCACCTGCAGCCCTGTGGCAATGACAGCCCCTCAGAAAAGCCACTGATTAAAAATAAATCAGTTTTAATTTGAAAAAATATCACTTTTGCTTTTTCCCTTTTCTCCCAGTGAGCAGTCCATATCATGGCTACAGTTTTGCTATATTAATTAGTGCAATCTCACAGGTGTCCAGATGCCCCAAAGTTAATTTATTAGACTGGTGCCTGTGTAACCAAGATTGTGAAAATTAGAGAACAGAGACTGCAATGAAACTGATGGAGTAAAGTAGCCCTGTTAACTTCAGTGTAATGGTAGACCTAATTAACTTTAAGTACCTTCCCCTTCTTTATTTATTTATGTCTTGTCCCAACTTTCAACTTTTAAGAATCAGGAGTTAGTGAATAATGCATTACCAATTAAAGTGAATGACCATCAGCATTTTTTTCCCCTTGAAACACAAAAACCCTGGCTCAAAACATTAATGCATGAGGTAAAGATCTTTCTTTATATTAGCAGAATCTAATTTAGAAAAGTGCATTATTGATTCTATCCGTTTGTCAGAACCTGCAGTGGTATTGAGCTCAACATTGCCAGTAACTAGAAATGTAATGTGTATATGAAAAAAACCAGGTGCATTGAAATTAGCACTAATTTTATTATAATTCAATAGACATTAAGGAAATTTATTTCTATTTTAAGATGTAAATGTTGTCTTTGTCTTCACCTTGATGAAAATTCACTGAAGAAAGAAAACACCATAATGATTTGTTAGGCAGTCTGGTCAAGTTGCAAAGGTAAAAGATTTTTTTTCTTAGTGTACGAGTTAATACCTAGGTTGTTTCCAAAATAAACTCTTGAGGAAAGACTCTCCCTCTCACCCCTGTCACAGGTGCCCAAAAGATGCTCCATGAGCAAGATGGACCCCAGTTTATAACAAAGTTCTCGGGCATTTTAACATCTTTTAGTGTCAATGCTTTGAAAGAGTTATGGAATAAAACCTAGTCTCCTCTTACTGAGATTTTACTGGAAACAAGCTCAGTCACTATTGAAAGCACTTTTCTCCGTGAGCTCCTAGAATTCCTGAAATGAGTGGTTTGACACCAATATTTCTAAGGTTCTTCTGCAGACTTACAAGACCTGAGAGACAACTTGTATAAAACTCAACACTGAGTTTGTCCTGTTACTTTCATAAAGTCAAGTTCCATTACCTGGAGACATCTTCTAAAGCAGGGTCAGACTTGTAGTGCCAGGAGATAGATTATGATCCACTTCATACTTGGAAGCCTCTTAGGAAGTCTATCATTACCACCCAAGTTTGCTATGCTCCTGTATCTCAATCTAAACATGATCCTGTATAAAATTTCTGGTTTGTACATCAGCTTCAGTACCAGGCCTTCCAACTCAAAAGTTCTCATAGAATGAGCTGTTCCTGAAGTGTTCAATCCTCTATCACTGAAGCCAAAAAGACTCTGTGCGATCATAATTTCTCACTTTCTTTTCTAAGCTTAGCCTTGATTTGTCACAAAGCAACTCTCAGCTGTCTGGCAGTTAAACTCTGAGGAGTCAAAGAACTGTGCCAAAGGACTTCATGATGTGCTACCAAGATCTCAGAGATGATAACATAATTCCTAAGGAATACTGATGCCATTAGAAAAAGCATAAACATATTCTGCTGAATAAGCCCATGCTTACTGTGAAAAGGAATTCTAAATTATTTCTCAGCTTCTTCAGAAACCCAGGCTGTCCATAGGCATCTGCTAAACCAGAGTCTGAAGAATAAATGAAGAATAATTTTTTTCCCAAGGTTTTGTATTAAATTAAATGATTGTATGTGTTTAACGTTTCCATTTATACGAAATGCTGGTCAAACACTTTTTAACACACATAGATTAACAAAATGTGCTTCTTATTCAATAAATTATATTATCCCAGAATCAAACATACAGCAAGTGTGTTACTTAAGGAACAAAGAGTTCTGTGAACTTCAACTTGAAATCTAATTCAAATGTTTTTCACTTCATGTTGACTCAGTGTCCTCCATAACTGAATTTCTAAAGCATGGCTTCTGCTTGTAAAATATCAGATCTGAAAATCTGAAAAAAATTACAACACTAAGAAAGAATTTCTAGATCATTAAAATTAAGTGGAAAGACATCAATTACAAGGTTTTTTATAGCATTGTTCTTAAAAAGCTTAATAATGGTTCACACAACTATCAGATTGAACACATAATTGTTTCCACATTATAGTAATTTATAGACATCAATTGACTAGCATACATAAAAAATAGACTACGTGACAAAACACAACATAATTCAATTTACTTTTTAAAAAATAAATGCTAAAAGTCCACATTTGTCCTCTTAAACCCATAAATTATTAAGCTGTTGAACTGAGAATAAAAAAATAGTGTCTTTTTTAATTTTGCACTGATTGCCTTATACCTACTGCTTCTCTCATTTGCAGTTACATGGACTGTGTCTCCACTTCCTATCATGTAACGGCCCCAAGAAAATGAAAACTCCTGATAATTAATAAAAATATTTATTTTGCTCAGGTAGCTGAAAAAAAAGGGGAAAACTTTTATTAGCAATATTCTGCACCCTGCTAGCAAATTTCCTATGAACAGACTGAGATAAGAACTTCAGATTTCTAACCAGCTCTTCACACAGAGATCCCTGTGGGGATGGGGCTTCTGTGAGGGATATACACAAAGGGCAAAGATTGCTAAATTTAGTTTTATTTCCTATTCATTTCCTTTAACATTTACCCTAACTATCTCTGCAAAAAGACATTCACCTAAATATTTTCCAGTTTCTGGGGCTGGTTTAACCCTTGCACAAAAACAAGAAGGGGAAGACCTCTGCATGCCACTGCACTTCTGGATATCAATCTTGGCAGAAAGTCTGGCAGGTGAGCTACAGAAGTTAAGATACAGTTTGTAAGCAATCAGAAGTGATACCTTTAGCTCAGGCATATTTATTATAAGCTGCATAGGTAGTTTAACATCTGGGTCCTTTGTATAGTCCATGGGCACAACGTTTGGTGCCATTTCATAGTATCGGCCGTGCAACCTGTAAACAAGCAGAAACAAACAGCCAATAACCAATTTTAAATAACCAATTCCATTCAGACCATAAGCAGTTACAAATTTGTCTTGCAGCTCTAATCGTTGACTTTAGTGCACAAGTTTGAGCCCACCAAATTCCCATCTTTGTGGAAAAAGGGCTTTGATGCAGTATCCAGCATAACTGCTACCAACAGCCATGTGTTTCTCAAGATCTGTAACTGAGCAGAGTTTCACACTGTGTGAAACATTTAGGCACTGCCAGGTATGTACACAGAAGGTCAAAAACAAGGAATGTACTGTGAAATGCAATTCTTATATGTGGAAGTTTAGTCTTATGCCTAATTCATAAACTGTTTAGGAGAGAAAGTGGCCCCTTTGTCATGTCCTATGCATTAACACAGTGTATTCTGATCTCTCAGTAGGGCACATGTACTATTTGTGTACATTACAAAGCTGTATCTTGTGACTTTTAATGAAAAATCCTGCCAACTCATTTCACTAGGCATACTAACAATTACATCTAGAGATTACCATGCTTTAACAGCAGAATATAAACAAAGTAGTAATACAGGAAGCAATGCCTCAGCAACCCCTTCATTTCCCCAGCTTTACCTGCAGCAGCCCTGCAGCCAGTCCCACACCCAACTGAACTACTTCAGGTCTCTGTGTGTAAATAAACTCAAAAACTAAGAGGAAATAATCTACAGGCATCTGTAGATCTTATTATGTAAATCTCTTATGATTATGATGTGCCACAAAGAACACATGAAATCAAACACAGAAACACATTTTTTCTGCATTGTGGGAAGCTGATGTCTTTATCCTGCACAGCAATATTTTGTGCCATAACAGAAATTGGATATCCACTGATCTCAGCACATTTCAGCTGCTCGCCACAGCTCACCCTGATATTTCATAAATACTGTGTAATTTAAGATGCAATAGCCATTTCCCTCTCTAGCAACTGATTTCTCCATTGTAAATAGCAGCTAAAAAGATGCTTCTAAATACAACAGAAAAAGCAGCTTAAGAGCACTCATAAAGAAAAGCTTAGAAGAAAGCAAAACTTTCGAGTCCAATATCCATCTACAAGTTACCTACTTTTTTAAAAGCTAGAATACTGAAATGGTGTTCTAGTCCTCAAGAAAATTAAGCACTCATTGACAAAACTTGACCACTGTGGACAACACTTGGCAATTCAGGAGCTGATAATCCCTGCTTATTTTAACCACCAAAGTTTCCCTCTGTACTTTATGTAATATTAGACTTGTCTCTTTATAACATGCAATATCAGTGCAGAGTAAACTTGTCACTTGCTGACAGAATTCACTATCTTGTCCACAGAAATTGCAATCTATTTCTACAGAATTTCAGCCGTACCCTTTGGCAGCTAAAAGAAGGATATGGATACGGCTCCCAGCTCTAGACTAGACTTTGCCAGAATTGTCTGGAAGGCAGGTGCTGGACACAGAGATGTGCAGGTAACTAACTGCAGATTTGAGGGCAGCTCTCATATCCTGTTTTCCTCCCAACTTACTCTGCTGTTAATTCATCAAGCTGGTCAAAGATGTGTGGATGTAAGAGCTTTCCTCCTGAGTGGATTTCACACTAAAGCATCCAAATGAGTCTGTAGGAAGTGGCTCTGATCTAACTCTTGCAAGCTAAATTACAGCAATAAAATACATCTTCCACATGCTTTTATCTGCAAGGATCCAGCAACTCTATTTGTTATAGCCCTATCACATGGCATGATTAGCATCTGTAACTGTGAAAAGGGCCATAAGATTTCCCTATACCAAACAAATATTACATTGCACTTACTCCATTATCCTTCAAAATAAAAAACCCCAACCAAGTGAACAACACAAAAGACAGTAACACCCTGTCCTTCTGTAAGATCTTGATGCTGGAAGGTTCTTCAGGGACACTATGTACTGTTTTATAATAAACTGGATTGCCAGTATCAAATGCTGGCTTTTGTAGAAAAAAATAACGTACCTGCTTCAGCCTCTTAACAGGATGCCAAGAAAACCACCTGTCACAAGGAACACAGTCCTTTTCGTAAGGGTTCCACCAAAACTCTCATTTAGTTGAATAACTTATGTTACATTGGGTGAGTACTTATTTTTGGCAAGAAAAAAATACATGATCAATTATTCTGTAACACGATGTAAAGCTCAGTAGACATTGGGGCTATTTACTCCCATAATCCTCCTGCCTGTATGCAATGCCTCACTACTTGCTTGTGGTGTTGTGCACTATGACAAATCCTGTGCACTAGGACAAATGAGTAATCACTTCCCAAAAGCTGCTCTCATTACTGACTGTTCTCTCACATCTCTCAATAACATTAATTCCTAACTGCAAATAGAGAAGAAATAAAGCTCTGGTAAAGGCTCTGATATTTCTCCTGTTTAGGAGAAGCAGAAGGCTCTTCAGGTGAATGCATCAGAGCAGTTGTGTCCTAGAGGAAAGGCTTTTTGTCATTTTACTCAGCATGCCCTTCACAAGAAGCATGTCTGAAAAAACCTAAAGCCTCTTTATCTGTCCTAGACACATTTTTGTTTTGTCAGGGAGGCAATGTAAGGTTTTGCAGTGCTGTCTGAACACACACAGATTTGGAAAAGCTGCCATTATCATACAGAGACCATCATGTGTATTCAGAAGCCCAAGACCAGCCTCACTGTCTTTGCAGCAGTAACTACTACAGATCCTGCAGCTGTATTTCCTTTAAAAGATGCTTCTGGTTGCATGCAGGAGCATTTTCCTATTCCTGGATATGCTCTCTTTGTCAGCAGGATTCCTTATTTACTTTGCATGAAAGTAGGAAATGAAAAATTGGCAGTGTCTTCCCTGCCACAAATGAGAGTGGTGGGGGGGGAATGTGGAGATAAATTTAATGGCAAATTTCTTTAACTGATGATGCTCTGTCCCCACAGGTACTGGTATATGTTTATGCTTCATGTGGAACATTCAAGGATTAAGGCTGTGATTCTGTATCATTTCAATCTAGTCAAAACTGAGACTGCTGATCTGCCCTTGCAGAAATTTGAAGCCCATCAGCTACTCATGTCCCTTGTATAAGCATTAACACTTAAGAATGTGCAGTGAGGTTCAGAGAACTGATGTGTTTGAAAATATAGTTTTTACAGTCAACTCCTTGAGGTTACTGAAACACTTGCTGCAGCAGCAGAAGAAAATGGGGGTTTAATTTTTCTATTAAATTAATCAATAAAGGCAGAACAAGACTTACCCCTATAGACAGCAGTTTTAAAGTCAACTCAGCTGCCCATCAACCAGTGAAAACCAAAAATGCTGTGTTCAGAAAAAAACCCACAACACAGTTTGGTCCCCACAGCCTACTTTTGATTGATACCTTTCATTCTACCACTTTGGGTCTTTTACATGGCAAAAAAGGTAGGTCAGAGTCTGTTCCCACTTTTCAAGGGTGAAGCATCCTAGAGTCAGCAAGGGTGATGCTGTGGGTATTTGCTGGACACAGTTTGGGATGTCTCCAAACTTACAACAGAGCCTCCAACTCTACCTGAACAGATCTGTAAAAAAGAGATTTCTAAGCTTACACCCTGCAGCAGCCATTTAAAAAATCACTACTGAGCTTTGGGAGGGAGTCAGACTATACCCAAGGTCACCAAGTGGGTGGGTTAAAACACAGAGCAGCTCTTCCTTGGCCTGGCGTACATTCATCTCCACCATTAAATGTAGTGACAACACATTACAGCTGTCTGAGCTGTCTATTTAACAGGAACTCTGCACTGAAGGAGTGCTGAAAACAAAAGATAAAAGCTTGCAGTGGCTCATTGATTAGAAGTAAGTAGAGGCTTTAAAGTGGCCTTTAAAGATGAATAAACATCTCCCTAATTCAGGTCCCACAACAACAGTCATCTGATTTATGCTGTAAGGGGAAAACATTTTTATTCAGCAATATATGTCCTATTTCTTCCTAAGGAATGCATTCAAAGATTTGTACATTACACTCAAGACCATCTCAAAGAGTAAATTCTAGATTGCTCTGCATTGTTCTGTATGTTCAGGAAAAAAAATACCAAATGGCTTAACCAGAGCTATGAAAGCAGGCACTGAGTGCTGATGGACAGTCCCACCAGGGGCTCACAGGAGCTGTGACATGACCACACACTGGTTGTACAAGATTGTTATAGATACATATTATATTATTGGCTTTTTTACAAATATTAAAATGAATATTATATGTATAATGTTGGAAACTTTGCTGTATGAAACTTAGAAATAGTGGTGTAATACATTTATATATTTTTAGGGAGTAGTATGGTATTACAATAAAGACTGCTTTTGTTCATATATGAAAGAAAATGAAAAGATAGAAAACCCACCCCCTGCATTCTTAGATTATCTTATCCAGATGAAGACTGCAGTGACTGGAGCTCCAAGGGAGGAATTTTTTGAACCTTGGTTATTAGGGAGTGTGAGACTCAACAGAGCCAAGAAGATTGATCTATTGGGGAGGGGGAGTTGAAGCTAAACAAAGGAACATCTAAAACTTAAGAGGAATGTTTGAATAATACAAAAGCATTTATGAATATGCAAGAGATTGGTGTTTTTAAGGGACAATCCTTTGTTAGTAAGGCGTGCTCTTGGGTGAATGCTGAGGCACCTGGCCATATTTGTTGATTTTGCTTTATTTCTGTCTCCTAATTGTCTTTTTATTAAACTTTTTAAATGTTATTAAAAAAAAAATGTAAACCTCGTTTTTCACAGGATGGATCAACTGTACCAGCAGCAGGACCAGAAGTGCACAGCTGCTGTTCACCTGCACTTTTGGTTATTCACCACAATCAGAACTATAGTCTCCTGTCCAGATGCCAGAGCTGAATGGAACAGCTGTAGATGGACTTTGTGCAATACTCAGAGAAGAATTCACCACTCCAGAGACCAGCAGGACAACTGGCAAGTCAACATAAAGCCTGGGAAAGAGCCAGGTCTCAGCAGAGAGCCCTCCAAGCACCT